CCACTATTCTATTTTAAACATTTCAACAGGAATTTTATTTCTCAATAATACTGAATAGGCAGTGGCAGGTCATCATTCTCACTGCACTAGGTAGGGAAAAAGAAAAATGGGTCAATACAAAAATGATATTTTTTAAGCTGTTAGAGGGCTATGGAAGCAAAAATTAGCAAATTAAAATTCCAGAGGTGAACTGTCTTAGATGAGCTGAAATTACTAAACATTTCCTTCACTATTGAGATTTATCATGTCTGGGCATTGCTAAGAAACAGCTCTACACAGACAGAGAGATTCTTCTAAAGAAAAGTAAAATAAAAAAAAAAAGGATTTGATGGCTATGTGGATTGGTGTGATTTATTGGAATCTAGAGAAATTACCAAATTATGACCAGTATTGTCCACAGGAATGGGCTTGAGAGAAAAAGTGATGTTTCCTGCAATTTTGAGGTACTTATGAGACAATATCTCTCCCAAAGGGAGAACTTTAAAACAGACTTTCGATATCAGAAGTATACTTAACTAAATTTATAATAGCATTCACCAAGCTAAATTCTTAATTACACTAAGATAATTAGCAAATCTCATGCTTTCTGCCAAACTAATGGTAATGGTGAGCTCTTTCTAGGAGGAAATAAGATGGAAGTTAGTATCTACAGATCTTTTATACAAAATTCATACAATAAAAATATCATACAATAAAAAATACAGAAACTATAGGATTTGGAAAATATGACCAATAGCTAAGAGGAAAAAAATAAATATAGAAACAGAACCCATCCAGATATTGTCTTTGGCAAGTAAAGACTGTAAAATAATACTATTGTAACTAAGTTAAAGAAATCAGAAAACTTGGACAAAAAGGGTGAGGCATGAGTAATTTCAACTGAGAATTAAATTCTCAAACGCACTCTAGAATTGAATATAGACATAGATATAGATATGCATATATTTGTATTTTATATGTATAAATATAAAATATGAAATTAAGAACTGATTACTTGGGTTCAAAAACAGACTAGCAAAAGAAGGGTTAGTGATTACAAAGACAAGTCAATATGAAATATCCAAATTGAAACCAAAGAAGATAAAATAGAAAGAACATAAGAAACATTTGTGATGTAATGAAAGTTTAACATGTCTAACTGCAATCTCAGAAAGACAGAAGAGAACAGAACCTGGAAACAAACCACATTTGCACGATGGCAAAGAACTGTCCAAAAATGAAGAAAGGTACATTCAAGAATCCCTATTAACAACAAAAATGTAAATACAGAGAAAAGTGTATGTATACACATAATGATAAAATTGCTGAAAACTAAGAAGAATTTTTTTTTTTATGTTACCAGCAAACAAAAAAGACATTGCATTCAAAGAAGCAACAAGGATACTAAGAGCTGGATTTTAAACAGAAACTATGGGAATAATGGTTTATTATCTTTATTTTTTTATGTTTACTGCAGTTTTACTCATAGTTACCAAAACTTGAACAGGACCCAGATGTCTTTTCATAAGTGAATGGATAAATAAATTAGATGTAAAACCTATAAAAAGGTTTATGGGAAGGAAGGTAAAGCCTCAAGAGAAAAAAAAAAAGGAAAAAGAATAATTTGTCATTTTGGAGTTTGGCTGTTGTTATCTCTTGCTTGATTCTTTCAAATAACATCCTCTTAAAAATATTTTTTTAAGCCCTAGGTACTTATTATCTATTCACCATAAACATGCTTTTGAGTCAATTTATCATTGGAACAACAGAGAATATAAGAATAGATGCAACTACACTATTGAGGTAAAATAAGAATGAGAATTCAGTATATGAAAAATACTGTAGAAATTCAAAATATTCTAACAGTGGAATAAGAGGAGCATTGACATATTTGTACCTGTTTTCTAGCACAATCTCTGGAAAACAAGGAAGGACAGGCATACAAGGTAGATAAGAAGGCCGCCTTTGCAGAGTCCTGAAAGGCTGCTGCTGTTCTCTGACTCCAGCCCCACTGGGAGGCACAGCTTGCCATATTTGTCTCCTTGACTGCAGGTCAAAGTAGATGATGACTTTCCCTACTCAATAGGCTTGCCCCCTTTGTCACTCCCCCTTCAATGAAAGAAATTTTCTGTGAAATATTTTCAGTCCCCCTCAAGTACACTGCAGGAGGGAGACCCTTCAAATTGCACATCTTGTTTAAAATTTTTAAAAACATTGGCAAGGGAAGTGTGTGATATATTAAGCTCATCAGCTCTTCTTTTAAAAAAATAAAAAAGATTTATTTATTTTTGCATATAGAACTGGGATGCAGGCCAGAGGTGCAGGGGTGGTGAGAGGATTCATCGGAGACAGAATAAGTTGTAGAACAGGCCGACTGACAAAGTACACTGCAGAGGGGAGCAGTGGGCAGGTTAGGAGAGGCTTGCCGCGCCATGTGGGTCACCTCTGGGGTGGGGATTGAACTTATGCTGAAGTGTCCATTGCTTCTTAGTGCTGTGTTTTAACCAACAGCACCACCAGGGAGGGCTCACATTGACTCTTGATTAACGTTTTACTCATATTCGTAACCTCCACTACTATGATAATGTCGCATCTAAAAACCCTGGTTAGGAAGCTTTGCTGATAACAGATCTTATATATGAGCACAGTTGAAGTACTTAAGTTTGTAGACAGCTTGTCCACACATACAGCAAGAGGCAATATCTGGGCTGCCAACTATCAGGGTGTCTTTCCCCTGAGTGAAGCTGGTATACCCACTGAAACCCATGTAGGAGCCCACATGCTGCAAACAACTCTGTTCAGTTACCAGTCCCAGGAGCTGCTGTTCAGGCCCAGTGCCAAGCCCAGCGCAGCCTGCAGCAGTGACTCATAGTATGACATTATATTGAAAGAGTTGGGGAAAAAAAAAAAAAAAACCTGCACCTAGACTTTTAAATTGAGTGAAAATTTCCTTCCAAAGCCAAAATAAAATCAGCACATTTTTCAGACACATAAAACTGTGGAAATTATTCACCAGGAGACCCATACTATAAGAAATGCTATAGGAAATTGTTCAGACTGAAGTCATCTCTTATAAACAACTTTGTATCATTTGGATTTCTGCCCATCTTTATCCCAAATGTGACATTTTCCCCATTAATTTCTTTATCTGGAGTGCCTTTTTTCCTCTCTCATTCTCTGAAGTCCTATTCATCCTAAGTCTCAGTCCAGATGTGACCTTAACACTGAATTCCTCCTTATGCTCCAGTCAGAGTTAATCTGACATCCTCCGTGTCATTTCCACAAAACATTACATGTGAAGTCAGGTGTCACATATTCTTCTGCCCTAAGGAATCTGGATCTGTTTCTCTCAAGTTGAAAGAACTTTTTAAAAAGGAGCTATTTTCACATGCAGAGAAGAAAAGTAAATGAAAATATTTAGATTAGAGCAAAGAAAAGCTAAAGAATATAAAAAAATAAAAGAAAAACATCACTTAAAAATTATATAGAAACCATGAAAACACTTTATATGAATTAATCCAAGAGAAAAAATTTCTCTGTGAAAGTCTTTTAAGGATTTCCATCTAGTTGTCCACTCCCACATCTCCACATACACATCCTCTATTTTTAATATTATTTTAAAATTTATTTATTTATGCATACAAGAACTAGCTTACAGAGCAGAAGTGTGAAAGAGTGAGAAGGTTCACCAGAGACAGAATAGGGAGCAGAACAGGCAGATCAAGTGAAACACACTGCAGAGGGGAGGGACAGGAGATGTCGGCTACGCCACGTAGGTCAGCTCCCTGGCTGAGGATCGAACTGGAGCTGCAGTGTCTGCGGACAACCCCACAATGCTGCACTCTAACTCCTTGCCCCACTAGAGAGGCCCATACACATCCTCTTTGACAAAAATACAAATCAGGCCCTCCCTGGTGGCGCAGCGGGTTAAAGCACAGCAGTGAGAATCTGAAGCCACTTCCGCATGAGTTCGATTCCCGCCTGCCGCCTGCCCTGGAGGAGACCACATGGCGAGCCAGACCTCTCCTGACCCGCCCACTGCTTCCCTCAGCAGTGTACTTCGTAGATCTGCCTGTTCTGCTCCCCACTCAGTCTCTGGTGAAGCCTCTCACCGCCCCTGAGCCTCTGGCCTGTACCCCAGTTCTGTATGCACAAATAAATAAATAAATCTTTAAAAAAAAAAATACAAATCATCTGTAACTGGAGAATTTTCCTGCCTCAATGTATATGATCCCTGATATCAGCAGGGTCTCATACCACTGAGGAGAATCGTTTTGTGTTCTCGCTATTGCCTCTCCAGTTGTGATAATTCCCTCTCACTTAGATCTGCCTCAGTTCTGATTGTGTTCCATCTTGATTTGCTTATGTGTACACATTGTGTGTTTGTACTGCCCTGACTCTGTATATAAGAGTCACTCTTTGCCTATAGGATATTCACACAGAAATTCGTCAAACACTTAAACTCAGAAGCCCATAACAGTTTGAAAAAATAAAACATTTCTTTGTACATCTTGTTTCCAAATCTTCAGAGATCATTCACTTACATTTTCTAAGCTGTCTTGTCCTCTTATTGTATTAATTTTTTACTGCAGTTGGAAGTTTCTAAGATAATACAGTTTGTGTAGCATCTATTTATAGCGCTTCACATGAAAAGAATAAAATGGATTGTTAGAGATTCTGTTCTAAAGCAGTCTTATGATGTTCCTTTCTCTGGCATCAGTTTTGAAAATTAATATTATTTGGAGAGAAAGGTTCTCATGCATGGCAGACTCATAAAACAAATTCACATCATTCTGACTTCAGAAAAAATAAAAAATTTACTTTCTATATATTTCAGTCTGATGGCTGTCCTTTCTGAGAGCAGAGATGAACAGCTGAGCCATAAATCTTAACAGCCACAGCACACTTAATTTCCTTGCAATCTATATGACAAACAAGTGTTATTTTCATACTTTTTTGTTTTGATTGGTTGAGTTTCATGGAGAGAGATAGTGGAAGTGCTATGATGTCTGAGAACTTACATTCAGAAAATGATGGAAGCTCTGGAATTTGGGGACAATCTTCTGGCTCTTCCCTAAAATATTTCTCAGGGTCTAGAAGAAATGCTGGTTTAGTCACTTCAGGCAGTTCGTTCAGGATTCCAATGCGTAATGACCTAAATGCACCTTTGCAACAGCAGGTGTTAGTGGAGGATAAAGAAAAAGTACAGTATCATTAATTTCTCAGAAAGATCTAGCATATGCCCAAGTAAACTTTTTTTAAATTTAACCTTACTGTTACTTGACTCATACAGCTGCAGTGATCAGCAAACCCTATAAACACAGCTGCGCAAGATAAATCCGTGGGCCTTTTATTCAAAGAAACTAAAAGGAACTCAAGACTTTCCATTCATTTATTCTTTATTTTGTATTCTTTTGCTATTTTCCCTTAAAAATGAGTATTCAGCAGTTTTGGAAAAGGTCCAGTTTCTCTTTTATCTACAGGAAAATTGTATCATTTTGTGAAATGAAGTCTTTTTATGTTTTAAGTGTTTAACAATGCATTTGCAGGTACTTTTATTTTTTTTTGATAGAATATAAACCAAAGCTGTTTCATTGTATTTGTTATGCACACAATAAGATGATGCAAAGGAAAAGTCTTTTAATCATGCCCTTAACAGCCAAGTCTTTGACAAAGTGAAATGTTTTATTTGTGCTTCAGAGGACAAATGGATAATGAAATAGAAGTGTACAAAAGTTTAACACAAGATGTGATGTTATGTTTGTTTGTTAACTCTGCCTCACTGTGTTTCTGTCACCACGATGGTTCAGTACCTGTGGAAAGTAAACTAATATATATTCAGCACCTGACATGTAATAAGTCATGTGCTGTGTTATTAGTTCTCAAATCTTGACAGGCATCAGAATCTCCTGGCGAGCTTGCTAACACATGGACTGATATTTATCACCCTCATCTCAGGTGAGATAAAGTGAGGATGGAACCCCAGATTTTGCTTTTTTAAATTCAGGTGGTTATGATGCTGTCAGACCAGGGAACACACTTTGAGGACCATTCTGGCATAGTAAACCAAAAGAAATATCTTTACAACCTATAAAACATCATTAAGTTTTTCTGACAGACAAGGAAACTGAGGTTCTAGATACTTTAATAACTGAAGTTCACATGTCTGGGAAATGGCAGACTATGGACATATACTCAATTACTGTTTTACTCCAAAGGTCATGCTCCAAAGTATAATAATAGTAATAGTAATAACAATAGTGATACTAATAAAAATGTATTAAAAGCATATCAGATGCCAACCATATGTTCTGAGAGCTTCACCTGTATTATACCACCCTGACCAAAAACAAAAAAAATGGGTTAGATTTGTTTATACATGCATTGAGTGTTAAAAAACAATTATCATTTAACATATATCATTTGACAAAATTTCATCAGAAATTCTAAAATTAAGTATATGACCTACTAAATAATAATGACACTTGGGTATAAATCTAAAAAGATGGGTAGTATGAAATATTCTCATTATATGATGAAGTTTTAGGAATAGTTTTCACTCCATTTACAAATAATACATTTTTGCACAATGATTTTCCTGTTTCAAATACTTTTTGTTGTTAGGCATCAACAAAATCAATACATTGTTCTGTGTGACTTCAGATTTCCTAAAAACAAACACAATTTTTATTCATTTCATCTCTTAAATACATGTGCTTCTTAGACATTACATTTCAGCCACAATTTGTTGTATACCCCTGAACAAGTCTCTTGTTATTTCTAAGTCTCAATTTGCTACTTTGTTCCATGAAGATCCCAGAACCTTGCCTTCACATCTATTAAGGAATGTCAAAATTTCAGGTATAAGAGTAGATAGCTATCATATCCATACCAATATGTTAAATAATATCATTATAAAAATATATCAACAGGGGTTACTTACTAGATGATGCTTGTATAACTTCATCATTGAAATGTTTGTGTGTTTTTTTCTTATAGATATTTCGTTCCTTATATTTCTTAACTAAACTTATGGCTTCTATTGGTTTGACACTGAAAGAAAATGATTCATGCTGAAATACCCCCAAAGGAAAGTTAGATATTTTCTAGCTATAAATACATACTTAATTTGACCAAAGAAAATTCTACTCTATGGGTATAAGTAGTGGTATTTGCCTATTTCAATCAAGATTTATCTTTGAATAAAATGACTGCTGGATAGGTAACAATATAAAAGAATGAGAGGCCAGTAAGCTAGTTAACAAAAGTTATGTCCTCATAACAAGTGGAAGGTCAGAGGAAAAACTATACAGAAGAAATTCCATAGAAATACAAACATATTATTCTTGCTCTGTATGTAAATTTCATGGACTAGTCAGAAGTAAACATCAGTAGCATGTGTCAAAAGTTATTTTTTCCAGTGCTAGTAATATAGACAAAACGAAAAAATATATATTTGTTACTTTTAAGCTCCATATTTAATCTGTACTCAAACTTCAGTTTCAGGCTATGAAATAGGATGTCATCAATAAAATATAGAAAGTAAAATCACTTTCTACCTATAAATAATTCCAGTCAGAAAAACAGAAAATTATATCAAATACATCAAAAACTTTCATTGTCCTATACCTCAAACTCAGCAGCTACAAGTTGTGTTGTGAAGAATCATATCATTGTTGGGAGCATCAGATTAGTAAACATACCTGCCCTCTACAAAATCCAGGCTGGTGAAGCCTTGGCTACACCTCCCTTCTTCCTTCCCTTACATCCTTAGCCCTTTCATGCTTCCTGCTCTCTCAATCCCTGACTTTTATTCCCAATTCTGTTTATTTTTGTGTGTGTGTGTGTGTGTAACTTGAGATGTTTTCTATGCTCTCAGCTTCAATTTTCTCCTCAATATAATTTAATTGTGTGGTCTTAAAGGAAAAAAAAAATGGATGAAAGTTAGTGACATGCCTGATAAATAATAGGATCAATAAATGCTAATTTTCTTCTTCCTTTCCCCTGTTCTATTTTGACTGTACCTCACAAATTCAAATGAGTTTAAAATATCAATACAAAGGAAATTAAGTCTATATATCTCAAATATAAGATGATATTTAGATGAACTCAATATAGCAATTTATTGACTGCCTTTTTGTACATAAATACACCTCACATTTTAGAGTAGTTTTAGATTTATAGAAAAGCTGTGAAGATAGTAAAGAGTCCTTGTAAACCCATCACCCAAATTTCCCTATTGTTACCATGTCATATTACTATTTGTCACAATTAAGAAATCAATATTGACCTATGACTACCACTAAACTCAGGATTTTTGTAAGATTTTTTCAGCTTTTTCTTAAATTTACTTTCTTTCCTATGATACCACATATATTTAGTGGTCTGTTATAATTTCTCAGACTTTCCCTGTTAATCACAACCTTGACAAATTTGAAGAATACCTGTCAAATATTTTTGGCCTTCAATTTAGGATTGTCTAATATTTTTTTCATAGTTTGATAGAGTTATGTTGGCAGAAGATAACAGAGATGAAGTCCTATTCTCATCACATTTTAATCAAGGGTACAGGCTATCACCCTGACTTTACACTGTCAATGCTATTTTATCACCTGGCCAAGGTTGTTCTTGCCAGGTTTCTCTTCAAGATTACTTTTTCTCTTCCTTTCTATATGCTTCTTTTTGGAAGCAAGTTTCCAAGTTCATGTTTCAGGGGGAAAGAGGAGAGGAATAAACACTATATTTCAAGTGAGGGAAAATATTGATAGGGCTATCAGGGAGCTCTAGCCATCCAAAATCAGTGCTCAATAAAGGACATGTCTCTGCCTGAGTTCTTTACCCACATGCACAATTGCAAAACCACTCAGGTTCAGGGAAAAAACAATAATGAGGTTTAATTCATAAACAGGGGAAACAAGGAATTACTACAGCCACAAATGGCTATATATCTCACCCCAGACAGAGTCTACAGTGTTCAAGAGGCTTCTTCTCAAAGATGGGAGAAACACTACACGACATCCACCGCAGGAACATCTTTAAAGATACAACATCCAAAGCAAGGATAGTGAAGGCAAGCATAAACAGCTGGGACTGCGTCAAGTTAAAGAGCTTCTATACAGCAAAAGAGATATTTTGAAAAACAAACAGACATCCCACTGATTGGGCGAAAATTTTCTCACACAATACTAATGATAAAGGAATGATCATAAGCCCTCGCTGGTGGTGCAAGAGGTTAGGATGCAGCACTGGAAGCTGGCAGCAGCTACTTCAGTGCAAGTTAAATCCATGGCCCCAGAGGTGATCCAAATGGCACAGCAGACCACTCTTGTCTTGCCCGCTGCTCCCCTCAGCGGTGTACTTCATCAGTCTCCCTGTTCTACTCCCCACTCTGTCTCTGGTGAATCCTCTGCCTCTGCACCTCTGGCCTATACTCCAGTTCTGTATGAATAAATAAATAAATCTTAAAAAACTATTGATCACAAAGATATACAAAGTGCTGATGAAACTCAACAAAAAATAAGGTAAATAACCCATCAAAAAATGGGCAGAAGAGCTAAAAAGACACTTCTCTAAAGAGGATATTCTGATGGCCAACAAGCATATGAAAAAATGTTCAACATTACTTGTAATAAGGGAGATGCAAATTAAAACCACAATGAGATACCACCTCACCCCAGTGAGAATGGCACATCTTCAAACAACTAGCAACAACAAATGTTGGCGAGGATGTGGAGAAAAAGGAACTCTCCTGCACTGCTGGTAGGAATGCAAACTAGTACAACCACTATGGAAAGATGTTTGGAGGTTTCTCAGACTGCTAACCATGGAGCTTCCCTATGACCCAGCAATCCCACTCCTAGGTATCTACCCAAAAGACACAAAAACACTGATTGAAAAAGATACTTGTACCCCCATGTTTATTGCTGCTTTATTTACAATTGGAAAAACATGGAAGCAGCCCAAATACCCAAAATAAATGACTGGATTTAAACAATGTGGTACATACACACAATGGAATAGTACTCCACAATCAAAAAAGATAAATTCATGCCTTTTTCAGCAACATGGATGGAACTTGAAGGGATCAGGCTTAGTGAAATAAGCCAGAAAGAAATAGAACAATAGCTAATGGATTCACTAATAGCAGGAGTTTAAGGGACCAGGGGAAAAATTTAAATAAAATAAAAGCAATTGTAATAAAGAAAAAAACAACAAACAACTATATACCAGAGATAATTTACCAGGCTGGCGTGGGGAATGGGTTCAAAAATGGGTAGGAAACGTGCACAGGACTATGGTAATGGCACATGGGTGAACTGGTAGTGAGAAATCCATGGGGATTTCAACCAAGATGGAAAAAGGCACAAAATGAAGAATGATGTAAAAATAAATTTAAATAAATAACAAGAGGCTGCTTCTGCAAGAGAGCACATTCCTGCCCAATAAGGTCTGGAGCACTTGGCAGCGTGAGGCACCCACGGGTGGGCCACTAAGACCATGCCACAGCAGGCCACAGCAACAGTCTGAAAATCAGAGTAAACATCAGCGGATGCAGTTTATTGGAGAAAACAGTGGCAGCAGCAGCAGGAGATGATGGAGATCAGATAAGCCTTTGGCCCACCAACAACAACAGCTCAGGAGACACGAGGCCTGGGGCCCTGATGTTTGCTTCCTTTCTCAAGGGAGCAACGGCAACAAGACCAGAGACAGTTTTAACCACCCCGTTAACTACAAAACTTTTCAGCTTCTTTCTTCTGAGGCCAGTCACCAGGACTATTTCTTTCTTCTCAAAGTCAGATACCAAATGCAAAGACACTAGCCTGGAGATCAGTGTTTTGGGGGATTGCAGGATCCCTCTTCTGCTTCCTTTAGCCCTTTCACAGAGCTTCCTCCTTCATTGATATCTCCAAACTGGATCACTCGAATTGGCCCTTTCAACCTGATTCCCAGTGAAGGCAGGAATGCTCACATGCAGCAGCCTTTGCTACTAGCAAAAAACACACTACATTTTTCACAGTTCCCACTCCCAGGCAGGGGCCTTAAAAAGCCAGTCTTGCACTGCAGTTTATACTACAGACCCTTGGTAACATTATCATCCCAAGTTATTTGTAATTATTGGGCTTTTTTTGGGGGGGAAGGGGTAATAAAAAAAAAACAGAGGGCAGGCGTTTGGCTTCATATGGCTTCTCCTATGAATTTAGTTCGATTTAGCCTTTTGAAGACAAGAATTATGTTGTCCTTAGAGTTACTTTAAGATACTAAGAAAATTTGTAAAATAAGATATTAGTGATAAATTCAGAAAGACACAGAATAATGCAGTTAGGGTTTTCAATTATTACATTAAGAATACATCATTTTTCCCCCAAAAATTGTTGTTGAGATAAACTAAAGTGAAAATTGTTGAGCGCCTCCAAGAAATAAGATTTTTCTTTTGGCTGATTAATACCAGGACTTGATTTTTACCAAACAGGTCTGTACCACTTTCTGCTTTTAGACGATTTTCTTGCTTTACTTCTCATCCAGTGGAATTTAAATTAAATATATTTTGTATAAAACAGAAGACTGCATATCTCCAGGGAATATGGTGACAATTCAAGAGTTAAACATATGAAAATCTTAAAAGAGTATGTGGAGTATGGTAGGAACTCAGTAAGTATTGATCATTGTCACTTTAAGCAGGAAGAAAACAATACTTTTCGCTCAAAGCATGGGGTTCCAAATACCATTATAGCCAGTTGTAACAGTCCTGGGGACTATCAAAATGATCAAATGGAAAACAAGGAGATGAGTCACCTCATCAAATAATAATTTGCTCTATAATGATGATAATTTTACCTAAAGGTTTAACTTTCTGTCAGGCTTGAGTTCCCTGCCCTCAATGGTGGTCTAAAAATATTACCAACAGGGCCCTGCCTGATGGTGCAGTGGTTTAAAGCACAGCACTAAGAAACTTCAGCATGAGTTCAATCCCTGTCCTGGAGGTGATCCAGTGGAAAACCCCTTCCGATCCACCTTCTGTTCCCTTCAGCAGTGTATTTCATCAGCCGGCCTGT